TGTACTTCTATAGTCAGTTTTGCCGATGCCATGCTACTAGTAGAGAACTCCTTCTCCTCCATCCATCTCTCCTCCTCCCCCCCCACACACACACCCACCCAAACCACCACTCACTCTGCACTGCTATAGCCAGTTCTGCGGAGGACATGCTGCTTGTAGAGAACTCTCTGTCCTTCTCCTTCTTGGCCTTCTGAGCCTTGCGCCTTTTCTTCTGGCTGGGATTCTCCCCCCACAGGTTGGTCCCGCCATAGATGGACGGGATGTTGAGAATAGCAATGCCTTCCAGGCTTGGACCATTAGCCAGGTCTAAGGAGCAGCCATCACACTGGAGTAGACAATTGTAAATGTTCACGTTTTATCCACATAATTTACATTTGTAAAGGTGTCAAACATTGACAAATCTCTGCATATTTACATATCTAAATTACGTCAAAGAAACATTAACAATTGAAGCCATTTACATTTGTGAGGCAGTGTGGTGAAATCAGGCGCCCGTCAAAATGATAAAATTGAAGAAACTGGCACTTTTCTGCCGGTTTGGCAATTTTAATCAAGTTTTTGTTTTTCAGCTCAACACCTTTTTATGTCCATATAAGAACACATTTTTGTAAGGATTTTACTAAAAAAAACGACAAATAAAAGCTCACAAATATAAATTTTCAATTTTCACGTTCTCTCTACCTATGAAATTAACCAAACTTCTGTGGCAATTTTTTCGCTAGTTTTATCTATGAAACCTGGCGAATCCCACCTCCTTCAACCACAAATATCTCACCTACAAGACAAATGGGTATCTTTTGCATCAAAAGCAAAACAAATGAACACACTTTAAGATGATACTAATAACTCTACATGCCCAATAATTGACAAGCGTCTGATTTCACAGCATTGTGAAACATTTTTAATGTGTTACACTCCCAGGGGCACAATTATTAAACAGAGTAAAGCATTTTTCATACAACAGCAATGGTATACGGTATATTAAGCTTGAAGAGGATCTGGGGGTAACAATTTTTGAGTGCAAATGTTTTGCAACCACATGTATGCAATCTAGATGATTTAGGTGATGGGCTGCTTCAACCCTGCCTGTCAGGACCTACCCTGACTGAATGGGGTACAACATACCAACAGATGGTGGAGATACTCCATAAAAAAACAAAACAACTTCCCTATCTGGGAATTGATCTCATGTGTTCCCTCCCTCTTCTCACCCCCTCCCTTATCTCACCTCCTCATTACCCTTCTCTCCTCCCACCCACCCACTTCTTCCCATCCCCTCTGATCCCCTACACTATGCTTGAATCTCACCATGATGTCAATATCTTCATGCAGGTTTTTGCAAGTGGAGGAAAAGAATTGTTCTGAGGTGCTGAACTCAAAGTACCACAGCTTGTTCTTCATTCTGAGGAGGACACAAAAACAAACATGTGAAGAGTTCGGGGATACAAACAGATAGATGAAAAGGTTGGCAACACAGATATAAGCAGGATTTTGGGATATAAACAGACATATGAAAGGTTTTGTGACACGTAAGATATGTGATGGGTTCTTCATTTTAGTAAGTGTTTTACGGCACTTGCAACACATTAAGGTCATATAAGTGCCTAAGATTAGAGGGGTCACAAGAGAGTAACATACACAAAAAAGGAGGGGAGATAAGGATGACAGATGTTTGACAGTAAAGAAGAAGCAAACAACACCAGAGCACCTACCAACCACCCACTATGACGGGTTCTGAGACATACCACACAATCCAAAAACTGAAAAACAACCTTTAAAAAAGTCTGACAATATTTATTATTTCATCATCAACATGTTATTGAACGAGAAACTGAGTTAAAGTATAGTAATAATAATAGTAATAACAGTAATTATTATCATGAAAAAATTGTATTTATAAAATTAATTTTCACCTTGACGAGGGCATCACAATAAACATTTTTTTAAAAATTGCAAGCACAGCCAACACATGCACAAACGAGAAAGAATCTTAAAGAATAAATAATAAACACT